CCCAAAAAACCTTCAGAAAATAACCACTTTTTTTTTTTTTTTTGCTGTAAAGAACATTTTTCCATCTATGGTTCTTTATGAAACAATAAATGCCAGTAAAGAACCTTTATTTTTAAATGTGCAGTGATGTTTATTTTCTTAGCGAGATGATATACAGGTAATATTATTAAATAAATTCAACTAAAACAATACCATATGTCCATGTATTGAGTAGCCATGTAAAATGGGATAATGTACAGCCAGTTGGTCATTATCAAATTAATATAATATAATATAATATAATATAATATGAACAAAGTAAACAATTACAAATTATAGTTACATAGTATAACTACAAAGTATTACAAATCTCTCTATACAGAGCTACTAATTTACTTATTGTTGTCTATATAGGGGCTAAGCATTGACATAAAGATCAGCTTACAGTATGTCTGTTTGCTTTACTGACACTCGAGACAGGGCTCCACCTCACATTGAGAATCGAGTGTCATATCGAGTGTGATGGACATAATGTGAACGCGAGTATAATATTAAGAATCACAGAAAATGCATTAAAGGAAATAAAATCACACACTTCATTAATATTGACAACATTAACATCCATTTGATACAAAAAGAAAAGTATTTGAATGTTTAGATGAGTTTCATACTGTTCTGTTTTCTAAGCAGGCATTTGTTTAATGAGTTAGATTCAAATTATTTAGGGTTGAGACTTGTAACAGACAGACCGTGACCTGTGATGAAAAGAGCAAAATGGAAGGACAGGGCCACTCTGTTGTGGATAAGGTTTTAAGGTTATTTCCTGAAACAGGCCCACCTGTTAGTTTTCTGTATAGCTTGTGTAACTTTGTTTTATTTACAAACCGTGTAAATGTCCTGCTAGACTAGTGAGGATTTGTAAATATAAATGAGGAATAATACAAACCAGTGTAGGATGTGGAGAAGCAAAGTTCCACATTAAACATTGTAACGAGGTTCTTAGTAAGAAAGGAAGAAGTCGGAGTCAGCGTGACTGAGGCTCGTGGCAATTTATTATGGTTCCCCTCGAAGGATCTTATCCGTGAGGCGCTGAAATGTGGCCGGCACCCCGAACAACCCGAACGGAAGCGTAACGAATTGGTGCAATCCGAACGGCGTGGTGAAGGCTGTTTTTACTTTGGATAGAGGTGATAAGGGGATCTGCCAGTATCCTTTAGTTAAATCCAGTGTCGAATAAAAACAAGCTGCACCCACCCGTACCGAGCGGTCCGTTTTTGGTACTAAAACTATCGGGCTCGCCTAATTGCTGTGGGATTCCTCTATTACTCCCATCTCTAGCATCGCTTCTAATTCCGCCTGAACCACCTTTTTTTTGTGCTCAGGTAAACGATATGGCCGGCTGCGAACCACCACACCCGGCTCGGTTTCTATGTGGTGCTGTATGAGGTCTGTTCGACCAGGTAGGGGCGAGAACACATCCGCAAACGCTGCCTGTAGCTTGGCTACGTCAGCAAGCTGCGAGGGCGAGAGGCGATCTCCCCCTGGAGCCAGAGCGGGCCTGCATTAGAGGAAGAGGGCGCAAAGGCGCTTTTGGGGAGGCCGGTGGATTTACCAGCTGACATTCACGACAAGCCGTGCACCACCTGTGCACGTTCTCGTGAATGCCCGGCCAAAAGAATCGGGCAATGAGACGATTTAGTGTCGCTGCCTGTCCTAAATGTCCCGCCATTGGATTACAATGAGCCGCCTGGAAAAGCATTTCCCGACGGCTTTTAGGTACCAACAATTGGGTTGTATCCTGCTTTGTCTGAGTGTCTTGTGTCACTCAGTACAACCACTCTTTTAAAACAGCAAAATAGGGATACGAGAGCAGACGGTCGGGATGGAGAGGCTGACCGTCGATGGTCTGAACCTGTTCAAATGCCCGTTTTAGGGACTCATCCTGGGACTGTTCCAGGGGGAAATCATCACGTTCAGAGAGGATTAGCCTCTCCTTCGCGCTCCGTTCCCCTAGCTCAGTATCCCGCGGTCCCGGTTCAGCTTCTCCCACGTGCGCGTCAGCTCCGTTCTCCAGCTTTCTCTCTCCACAAGATACATCCGCACACAAACAACCCAGTAATTGACTAAAGAGGCTTGGGGGACCTCCCGCACAGCGAACAAGAGGGGTTCCAGCCACCTGTCCCAATTTTTGGCGTCTTCGTGAACGAACTTCCGAATCATGGTTTTCAACGTGCGATTAAACCGTTCCACCAGACCGTCTGTTTGTGGGTGGTAGACGCTGGTGCGAATCGACTTAATGCCCAATAATCCGTACAGTTCGCGTAACGTACGTGACATGAATGCCGTGCCTTGATCTGTGAGAATCTCTTTTGGGATCCCCACTCGGGAGATTAACCGAAATAGCACGTCCGCCACACTTTTCGCCGAAATGTTGCGAAGCGCGACTGCTTCCGGGTATCGTGTTGCATAATCCACTAGGACTAATGCAAAGCGATGCCCGCGTGCCGATCGCTCTAATGGCCCGATGAGGTCCATACCAATTCTTTCGAAGGGGGCCTGCAATAGAGGAAGAGGGCGCAAAGGCGCTTTTGGGGAGGCCGGTGGATTTACCAGCTGACATTCACGACAAGCAGCGCACCACCTGCGCACATTCTCGTGAATGCCCAGCCAAAAGAATCAGGCTACATCCGCACACAAACAACCCAGTAATTGACTAAATGCCGGCCAATTCATCCCCAAAATTAGCGGATGCCGGAGGTTTGGATTAATTGCGACCTCCACACTATGTTTTTGACCCTGAAATTTAATCAGCACAGACATTAGAGGATATTTCACCACATCCCCGTGCACACACCGCACCGGAACCATGCGGCTTCTATCCAATGCCTCGAGCTGAATCAGGCTTTGATGGATCGACGTTTGGTTACACCCCGAATCCACCAAAGCGAGATAAGTACCCCCCTTAATACTCACAGGTATTTGGTACAGGCCAGCTTGATTGGGGGCAGCCTGTGGCTCATCCGGGACCCGGATCAGTGCCCCGACCTCCATCACCGGGCACCGGTCAATGAAATGTCCGGGGTCCCCGCAACGCCAACAGGCCGGCCCAGACTTTCCCACCGCCCTATTGGCAGGAAGTGGGTCAAGGGACTGACGTGGAGAGAGTGGGAAAAAGGGAAGGGCTGCGGATCCCGCCCCGGCTAGCCCCGCTACCCTGGGAGGTGCTCTCGGGCCAGCGGCAGACTCCGGAGGCGGCCCGCTCCGTGCCCGGGGAGGGACTCGAGGAGTGATTCCCGGACGGGACCTAGGAAAGGGAACAGGACGGGGGGAAGAGACATTAGGGGAAGAGAGAGAGAGAGAGAGAGACCGCTGGCAAGGATTCGCCGACTCCCGGGCACGCCACCATCTGGTCTTCCGCCAACTGGATGGCCAGGTCCAGCGACGCCGGGCGGTGGCACTGGACCCACTCAGCCGTCTTCTTCGGGAGACGGCCGATAAACTGCTCCAGCACCACACGGTCGAGGATCTGCTCGACGTCGCTTCCCCCGGCCAGCAGCCATTTGCGGCAGGCGTCCCGGAGCTGCTGAGCCAACACGAAGGGCCGGCCACTTTCCCCCAGATCCACTCTCTCCCGCTGCAGACTCCGCTAAACCACGCCCCCCTCACCACAAACATTTATAAAAGCTTGTTTTTAACAAGAGAACAGTCACTGGCAGAAACACAGTGCAGTGAAGTCATATTTGAACAGCAATTTAAAGCCTCCGCTACCACGTCATCAGCAGTTTATTTCGACTTTTGAGTTTGTCCCTTTTTGCTGGACAATCTATTTCGCTTTATAATCCTTAGCAATACAAACACAGACACTCATCAGACAGAATGCACACATAAACAGGTGTAAATCTAGACTAATGACTTTTTACCATCCATCCATCTCCAATCTTGTTTATATGAGTGTCCTGTCTGTTGGGTGTCTGTGTTGTATGTGCTGACTTCATATTATACGAGGAGTGTGATGAATGATGAATATGCTCATTAAACTCTCAATATGTTTGTTTGGACAATATTACCTTGACTTTTCCCTCTGGAAAAATGCTTTAACAGTTAATTTTGTACAGTAATATTCTTCTGTTTTACTTTAATAACTGACATTTAATATTATTTATTAAGTTATTTGTTTGTTTGTCCCCACCCAGTTTTTAATAGATGTAGACAGCAATCCTGACACAAAGTCCATTCCAAAAACCTAGGAAACTTAATTTGTGCCACCTCTTTAAGATGCCTTCTTTTGGCCAAATGCAATGCAATCCCAGAATGCAATGAGTTCAGAAGAAAAAAAGACAAAAAAAAAACA